ATTCTATTCTATTCTATTCTATTCTATTCTATTCTATTCTATTCTATTCTATTCTATTCTATTCAACAAAAGCCAAAGCAATAATGCTATTCTTCAGAATCAACAATTTGGAGCTTATTCATGTGACTTATTGAGCATATAGCAGTTAGAGAAAAGTAGTAGAGTTTATGTATGTTGGCTCCCAGACTGTATATTTTGGCACACCTTGATACATACTGAATAAAGAATAAGCAAAATTTAACTTGTAATGCAGAAATCTAATCTTGAAGATGATGGAGATATACAATTAGCTCACAAACTTTTCCCCATAATTCTCACCTATCCAGGCAGGACCTGAAAAGATGCTGGCACTTGTAATAGTTAATTCCACACTAACTAAATCAGAGTTTGGGGGGGGGGTTCTATTAAGTACCATAGATCCTTAATAACCTGTTTTGAGGCCACAGGTTGGGTGAGCCTAAGCAAGAAGTGAACAGAGGCAAAACCCAAAGTATCTTACTTTGGATACTCATCTTTTTGCTCTTTCTGACATCCTATTCCCTCCTCCGGTAAAAAGCAAGTAGCTCTTACCAGAAGTTTAAATTTAGCAGATTGGGGGTGGGGGGGGAATTGATATTAGGCCAAAGACTGCATGAAATTAACTGGAAAGTCCTAAATTGCCCACACCTGACCTGGCAATGGTCTGATTCAGCAGGAAGCATTTTCACATGCCACGATTTCAACAATACTCCATAAGCATGAAATCACAATGATCTGTATCTTCTTACATCCATACAGATTAAATTAAGCTCAGGATATGATCCAGAATAAGCAATCTGAGAATAACATGCTTACTTTTCTCAAAACCATTTAAAAGAAAAGATAAAGGTTCTTTTGTTCTATTCTAGGAATACATTTTAGAACTTGTCTTAATCAATTACTCATTTTTCATAGCACTGACTTTTTCTTAAATAAAACCAGCAGAATCAGATCAATTTTCTATGTGCCTAAGATGCACATAGAAATTTGTGATTATATAAACAAAGGCAAAGAAACACTGTAAAGGTTGAGTTGAAACTCATAATTTAGCTCACATGTAGAAACTGAAGATTTAAAATACAATAAACAGTTTCTTGTCCCAAATTTCTAGTTATTTGTCTAATGCAGATTTTTAAACATTTTCAGGCTGTGGAACCTATTACTTAAAAAAAAAAAACCCAAACACCTTTGAAACTTAGTCAAGAGGTAAAGCTCTAGTTCAGTGATTCTCAATCATAGCAACTTTAAGATGGGTGAACTTTAGTTCTCAGAATTTTCCAGCCAGCATTTAGTAATAGAAAACCAGCTGTTTGAGTGATACATTTGGGTGGTTTTTTTTTTTTGTCCTTAGTCCCTTGAGAAATCTCCATCAAGTTTTGAGGAGTTGAAAACTCTGTATTCATGTATAGCCATGAAATCTCTAAGAACCAACTTATTTCCCTTTTAACCTTAAATACAATTTGAAATCTTATATATAACCTAACCCTGCTACTGATTATCAATACAGTATATTTGCACATGAATCAGTTCAATGGCAACAATTCCTTTATCTGGAACAAAGCAACGAGGATTTAAGAATAGCAAAAACCTCTCAGAAGGAGATGGGTGGTTAAATATGAAATATAAATAAATAAGTAGTTCTTGATTTCTGACCATAATCAAGCCCAAAATTTCTATTGCTAAGTGAGATAGTTGTTAGGTGGGTTTTGCTCCATTTTACCTTTGTTGCCACAGTAGTTGAGTGAATCATTGCAGTTATTAAGTGAATATGACTTTCCCACTGACTTTGCATGTCAGAAGTTTGCAAAAGGTGATCACATGACTTGGGGACATTGCAACCTGTCATAAATACGAACCAACTGCCAAGCACCTGATCACATGACCATGGGGATGCTGCAACTGTCATTAATGTGGAAAAAGGTCATAAGTCATTTTTTTCAGTGCCATTGTAACTTTGAACAGTCACTAAATGAACTAAATCAGGGATGTCAAACTCCTGGCCCATGAGTCAGATGCGTCACACACTGGCCACGCCCACACCATTAATGAAAGGGAAAAAAGTCCTGATACGTCACATGATGCTGCCTTGGCAACATGAGTTTGACATCCCTGAACTAAATGAATAAGTCAAAGACTACCTATATCTGGAACCAACTGCAATCAAGGTATTTGTGGAACGTTCATTGAGGTAATGGAATGTGTACAAATATGCCTGAATTTAAATATATTCTTCATGTTAATAAGTATTAGCAATCTGTCTTTAGTTTTGGCAGTTTCATAGATTAACAGATTAAAGTGTCAAGAATTTAGCTTTATTAAATAAAATAGTAGACATTAGGGTTGTACATACTTCTTAAACCAGATGAAATAAGGGCTTTAGACTTCACATAAGCATCTGTGCCATAAATTAAAGTAGCCCAATTTTTACAGGTATCTCTGCCTTAAGAACTCAGTCATAAAATAGGTGCACTGGGTTTTTTTTCAGGGTCAAGCAAAACCCTGAAAAATTGTCAGGATAGGTAAATGAATTGGAAATAATGCTAGGCTTGTAGTTGTCCAAGGTGTAAAACACTTTTTGCAAATCATTTTGAAACATAACCCTATTACTAAAAGAATTCTCTAAGTTGTTAAAAATGATATCGAAGTGCAAATTTTCACAAATGTGGAATTTCATATTTCAAAGTGTTAACCCAAGCTCTTTATAACTCATATATGGGTTGAGACATTTGTTTCCTTTCCATAATTATATGACAGCATAAATAAACATTTATAAATAGATATAAAAATACTAATAAGCTAGAATGTGCAATATTACATTCTAGATTCCTTTTAAGCTAGGGTCATTGTTTTCTTTTATTTAAATCTCAGGGTACCTTGGATTTTCTGGTGATTTCCTATCAAATCCTAAATTGGCTTAATTTTAGTGGATTTGAGATCAACCAAAGGGGCAAAGAAAACTTCAAGAAACTCTCAAAACACTGTACTCATTAGACCCAAAATTTAGAAAGATAGCTGGGAGAAAAATACAGGAAAAAAATGGGTGAGAATGGAATTGTACTCTTTGTAAGAAATGATTGGCTGGAATTCTGAACAGGCAAAGAATGGATAGCCTATATCATTTTCTAGCAGGTAGCACTTGCTTACCTGTACATTAACTCAATTAAAAACATTTCGTAATACACAGATACTGTTGCCCTGATAATGTGACTAATAATCCCACTAAATGAGGGAATAGATTCTCAGAGCTATGGTCCACACATATTTCATTAATTTTGAATTTCAAAAAGCTCTTACAAAGCCATAACTGTTAGATAACTTTTGAAACCTGCTGCTTATCATATGGCATCCTGCTTTCAGTCTTACTATGAAACATTAAAAATGAAATGATTCCTGAACAAAAATTAAGCCTGTTAGCATTTTATGAAAATTATATGGATGCTGTCTAAGAGAGCTGGATGTTACTGTCAAGTGACAGAAGAGAGTTATGGATTTCTAATTGCATTTCCAGAGAGAAATAATAGACCGCAATATGCACAGACACATCATGCAGAGGTGCAGAGCTGATTATTTAATTATAAAGCTCACACATAAACATACAAAATAAATTCCACCAAGAATTAAAAACTAATAAATCTAATGTCAAATCCTCTACATATTTAACCCTAACCCTGGGACTTACTCCAAAATGCGTGCAACACTATCTTTGCATGGGATTGCACTATAAAGAAGTTCCATTTCAGTCAAATCGGATTGTTCAAAATCTGCACTGAACATCCTCATAAATTACAAATTATATACATAAAAAACATGGCACTGGTTTTTGTGTACTCTGTGTTGTTTATGAAATTTACCCATTCATCCTGCTCTCATCTTCCAGATGCCTATGCCTTCCAGAAATGGGAATCAAAGCCCATCGTAGGTGGAGAACGCCAAGTTGGAACAACAGCCTAGATTGGTTTCATGTTTTGATTGAGATTTTAAACCGGTAACAATATCAAGGTAAAATTATCACCGCTGCTCTGGGCAGCTTTGTAATATTCTACACACATGCTAAAATGATGGGGAGTTTTGTATCCCTTATTTGACTCGTATATATTGATGATCCGGAGGTCGAGTTTCTAAATCCCGCCTGGAGATTCCTCCAGTAGTAGTTGGCAGCGGAAGCGCACGATTTGGCCACTGGAGCCCAGTCTCGGTCCCTTTCGATCGCCTCTTTTGCTAAATCGATTCTCCAGCTCTAGCTGAAGTGGGGATGGGGGGGGGGAGGCTGCCCCGGTTCGCGGAGGGAGGAGCCTGGCATCAGGTAGCTTCCTCCTTTCTTAAGGGGGAACCGGCCGGTTTGCCTCCCCATTCCACGCACGTGTGAAGGCAGAGACTATCGGAGCCTCGAGGAAACCAAAAGCAGCTGAGGTGGCAAGCGGGCTGTGGGCGGGATGAGGAGTCAGCGGACGGGTTCTTTCCTTCTCCTGCTGCAGACTCTGCTGCACTTTTCTCCCGCTTTTCGTGCGCAGCTCGCCCCTCAAGGTACGGCGGACCCCCTGGAAGACTTGAGGGACGTGGCGGGAGCGGGGGCGGGGGGGAACAAGTTTAAATTTTTGCCCCTCGTTGCTGCAGCTGCACTTTGGAAGAGAGAAGGATGAGTCAGAGTAGGTCACGGACTTACCTCCCGAGTACCTGCTGAGCAGACAGTTTGATGGGCAATACATGTCAGCTACAGGATCCTAAAATAACAACAACAACCCACCTTCTAAATAATTTCCCTTCCTTTCTCTCTGTTCTGCGGAAATGTGGAAGAATTCTAACTTAGAGATCACTAGTGCCAAAGATGCTGTTTTTAAGTAGTACACCTTGGGAAAGGGGGATTCGAATGGTGTTGTTACAGAAACCTCTTTTTCGAATTCAGATTTTGATTCTCCCTTACATGACTTTTTTTTTAAAGAAAATTCTCTTTAAATAAAAATTGTAAATAATCATTTCCATGAGTTTGTGGATCTCTGTTACTTGGGCATGTTACTTTGAGATAGACATACAGATTTGTTTCTGCATCTCTTTTGTTAATAGCCAACAACATTAACAAAATTATATTGTAAAGATCTCTGGCTCATGCTAAGATCTCTCATTTGAATGGCATTAGTATAAATGTGTTTTTCTGATTCCAAGTAGCATGTTTAGGTTATTGCTAAGAAAGCAAAAATAAAAGATTTATGTTATCACACAGTTCTGTGAAAGGGCACATCCTATGTAAAAGCTAACTTAATGGGACTTAATCATGTGAAAATATGCTGTGTAAAGCAGTGTTAGAAAAATAATTATTTACTAAAGAAAACTCTTGTTAATCACAATGTGATGTTCTTTTGGGTAAACGTAAAGAATATTGTTTATCCCAAATTGATTTGTTTATTCAAAATCATACCTTGCCATTTGTTATTAAAAACAAAACAAAACAAAAAGAAAGTAATAAGACCTCACTTAACTAGAACTACAAAGCAATGAAACTCAAATAGAATAAAGAGGTAAAAAGTAAAATAAAAAGAGGGGCAAAACCCAGTAAGGATCACGAAATCAATTTCATACTTTCTAAAAGGCCACTTAAGAAATAGGTATTTCCAGTGCCAAAAATTATATAGAATCTTGAGTCTGCTGGAAGACTTCTCACTGCTTCTTCTCCCAGACATCACCTAAAAAGAGGAAACATATTGAAAAAAAAAGAATGAATGGCAAAAATGGATAGAGATTTATTTAGGCTCTAAAGTATTATAACATACTTGAAATCTAATATGCTTCCTGTTAGTGGGCAAGACTGTGGTCAAATAATTTATGAGTCTACTTTGCTGCTGCTGAGGTTGAAGAGCAATTCCAAGTCCTCATTTCTTCTGCTAGCTCTTCATTTTTAACCCGGCATTTTTTCAAACAAAAGGTGCTTTTTGGATGACTATTCTGTAAAAGTAGAAATATAGTCACAAAATGGAGGAAGACTTATAAAGTCAACTGAAAAAGCTCAACTTAGGGTGAAATCTGATGATTCCTATTGAGGGACAATGACCAGAGTCATCTTACTCATGAGGATTTTGGAAAGATATATTAAATAGATAAAATGTTCTTATATTGCTTATAACAGCCAGTGGAATTTATTTTTAAAGGAAAAACAATTTGAAATAAATTTAGGCATGATCCCTTGAGATTTCCTATGTGCATTAAAAACAAAAGTACAAATCTTTTTTCCAATGTTGTAACCCAATTATGTTTAGTGGAAGAGGAGAAAATAATATAATATTAAATATATAACTAGAAGGTAGTCATCTTTAACTATTTGCATTTAAATGTAATCTAATCAAATTTAATTTTTTCTAGGTTTCCAAAAAGGTTTGTTTTTGGAGAGGAGTTGCCAGTTTAAATAGCTATTTAAATGTTAAATGTGGCATTGTGAATCATGGGTGCCCAGGTGCAACTATGTGTGAAACAAGTTGAGATGACACTACGATTGCATGTAAGCCCTTTTTTCATGAGTCACATGGAGGTTCATTTTGGAAATTGTAATCACCAATTATTTAAATTCCTTTTATTCTCTTTATAGTATTGGATCTCCTCTCAATACCCAACCAGAAACTAGTAAAGACCTACTTACAGCAGACATTGGCTGAGCCAACTGTCAATGAAATATATGTGCTCTCAACATTCAGACTACAACCAAAAAGTACTGCCCTTATATTTGGGTTATACTCCTCCAATGAAAATAAAAAATATTTTGAATTCATAGTAATGGGACGAGTAAATAAAGGTAAGTTGTATGCAATGAAAACGTTTTATGTACTTTATATCTGCTAATTGATTTGAGATCCATTCTACAAATGTAGGATATAGCTTAGCAAGTTTTCTGGCAAGAAGATTCATAGAGTTCTGGGTAGCTTTTGTTAAATCAATTAATGCAATTAGACTCAGTTGTTCTGTGGAGGGGGCTGCATGTAGGGTTTTCTAATCTTTTCAATCTTCTCCTTACTTTGACTCTGGGAGCCTGCTCATTTAAACAGAGATTGAAATAGTAATTAGGCCAACATCAATTCTGATAATTTTTTTTCATTATTCATATGTCAGCATCTCAAACCTGGGAAAAAAGGGAGGAAAAATAAAATGTTTCATTCCCAAAGTAGACTGAGAAAAAGAAAATAATTTTGTTATCTGATGTCTGGTGCATTTTGTTACCTCCTTAGAGTTTTTCTTAATTTTTTCAAATGTGATGACATTCTTCTTGAATAGTGATATCAATAGGTAGATACAATCAATAGATACAATACTGCTAAATAAATTTTAACAGGACTAAAATTAGGAAGCAAGGTGTCTGAACACAATTCTTTTTGATTTTGTTGAATTGCTGCTTTTTACTTTCAAGGAAATGTGAGTATTAGTTTATGGCAAAATTTTGTTTCTGTATGTACACAATTTTTATCACTGTTCATTCCTTCTCTTTGCCAGCAAGGTATCCCAAACAATGAAGTAGCTAATGAATTTCCCACCCCCCAATTTATTTATTAAATTTATATGCTGCCTATCTCACTATCCAGAGTGACACTGAACAACTTACAACGCAATAAAAATGGAAACATAAAAACAATTATAAATATAGAAACAGTTAAAATTAAATAAAGAAAAAGATTTTTCCCTTGAAAAATCCTGCTTCAAATTACTAAATAATTTGATAGATAGTGCACATACTGAATTCTGCATATGAAAGAAAAGAAAATGTTATAGTTGATCCCTGAATTTAGTGTAGATGCTTTCTAGAATCAGACAATAGAGCAAGAGGGTGCTTGGTTAAAATGAATTTTAGAGCTATGGCCCAGATCTGACACATTAGGACACCTCTACTTGATACTCCAGTTTGATCTACTGGATCAAACAAGGCCTATCTCCGCCTACCAGTTTTTTGTCAATTTCGAATCTCCCAGGTTGCTTACAAGCAGGAAATGGAGATGTACTCCTTTTATCCCACTGTTTCCTAAAACTGGCATTTGAAGGCACACTACCACCAGATGTAACACCAAGTCAAGATTAATAACCTTAGATAGACTTAATCTCCTTCCCTTTTAAAACCACCCAAGCCACCACATTCTATGATAACTAATTCCAAAGGTTAATTGTGTGCTTTGTGAATAAGTAATTTCTTGTATGAATCTATATTGCAATATGGAAATTCTTGAATGGACAACATGAACAAGTAAAAATTGTTATCTAGAGGAAAAGTGAATGAGGAGTGTGCATCAACTTTCTAATTAATATTGTAACCAAGCTGACTACTTTATTTAATTGCACTTAAATCCACCCCACAAAATTTAATAAATTTGTTAATTTTTAAAGAATGATTGTTGAGATGTGTTTTCAATGCTGTTTTATTGTACAAATATTCAGAAGCCTCATTTGAGAAAACATGACTTGATCAGATTTATGTGTATGTAAATTATAATCTTCACTGAGGATAGATGCAATTAATTTAGTATGCTAATCCTACCCTATTCTTTTGAAGACAAACTAATAAAAATGCAAGTATGAAGCACCATTTTTCAAAAGGTCCTTTCTCTCAACAGAAGATAACGCCTTCACTAGGATGATGCTTGCTTTGATGAGTTGGCCATATATCATATAAGACTAAAGAATAGGGTTTTTTTTTTTTTTGCTTGAGGTTTGTAACCAGCCCCTGCAATTTTAGCATATTAGAAAATAGTAAATTTAAAGGAGAAAAAAAAACATATTGGGGTTAAGAACTTTGTGTGTTCAATGGGTATATGCAGGTGTTTTGGTATGAAACAAAATTATAGGCATGTCTGTGATAGAATAAAGAATTGGTGTATGAATTGTACATATTGCTAGTGTGCTGTTTCTTCAAAATAAGAATAATTGACTCAAAAACTGGAATTTTAGAATGGTATGGAAGGTATAGTTTAAATGTTTTGAATTAGTCCTCCTGTTCTGACTTTTGCTTTAAAAAAATGTGATAAGAAAATGTTTAATCTATTTTAGTCAAAGTAAGCAAACAGAATATACAAAATATACTTCATGACAGTCATTTAGGTCTATTTTATTCAATTGTGATAATGAAAAAACAACTACCTCAGAAAAAATGAGAAGGTGTGCCACTCAGTGACCTACCCATTGTTTGAAAGATATGAGAACACACCTATAACATGATATTGATGTCTGTTGGGAGGGACAAAGAGTCTAGCAATGGATGAAAGCAGGGCTTCCCAACCCCCTGGGCCTGTTTAGAACAGGGCTACACAGGTGAAGGTGACCAGTGAACAAATGAAATCAAAACTACACCCAGTCTGTGAAAAATTGTCTGTCACAAAACTGGTCTTTGATGCCAAAAAGGTTGGGGACCATTGGACTAAAGGCATTAAAGCAGGGATGTCCAACCTTGGCAATTTTAAGACTTGTGGACTTCAACTCCCAGAGTTCCTCAGCCAGCAAAACTGGCTGAGGAACTCTGGGAGTTGAAGTCCACAAGTCTTAAAGTTGCCAAGGTTGGACACCCCTGCATTAAAGTAAAAAGGCCAGATTATACGTCATTTGGTTATATCATTTATAGCCTTTATAACTGTCTTTTTACAATTGCATGTAGACTTGTTTTATTTAAGCATCAGGCTACTTTTGGAACTTAAATATCCTTTTCCACCTTAGTTGCTTAGATTTAGTTATAGAACAACATTTTTAAATTTGGAACTTGTTAAAAATGCTGACAGCAGCAAGAATGTTTTAGGCACAAAAATGGAAAGATACTTTGATTCCCACAATGGATGATTGGCTGGAGAAACTGATGGAGTTAGCAGAGATGGCTAAATTGATTGCCTTCACCAAAGAAACGAATACAACTAACTTTGTTCCCAATTGGAAACAGCTTCTGTACTTTGTTCTTAAGGTGGAAAAAACTGAAAACTTTGGGTTTTGCAGATTAAATAAGGTTGCTGTTATAGAAATGACTAATATATATTACGGTACTATGTAAAAGTAAATTGTTGAGGCTGTATATTAATATCTTATTCTACTGTCAATGCTTGTCTTTCTTTTTCCCTTTTCCATCCTTTTCCTCTTCCCTTTTTCCTCCTCTACTTTGCTACTCTCTTTATTTTTCTCTGTAGTTTGTATTTTGATAAATTAATAATACATTAGAATAACATTTTAGTTCTGGTGGATTTTTCAGTGGTATCCTTTCAGTTTTCCTCATAAGAGTGTGATTGGAGGAACATGTTTCTAACTCCCCTGTCTTTTTCTATTGTGTCTAAGGCTTTCCAGTTTTCTGTACTTCAGTTTTTTCTCCCAGCGATTGCTTTGGCAGTAAATTTGCTTTCTAAGCTTATTTTCCTCCAGCCTTGAAACTGACTCCCGCTTCCCTCTCTATATCCTGAAAGCATTTCTTGGAGTCCTTTGATCTACAGCTTTCCTGGCTCACTTCCTTGTCTCTTTCTCCATGAATTTCCCATTCTATTATCTCATTTGACATTTTCCCTCTTTCTGGTTCTTTTTCTAGCTTGTACTACACTCAATTCATTTTTCTATTTGTATCTTCTGGCCCACTTCACTCTATTTCCTCACTGTTTCTTTCTCTTTTGGTTGCTCTTGTTTAATCTCTTTTCCTCCTCTTTCATTCCCTTTCCTGTTTCACATCTTCTAATTTGTTTGTGCCTGTCATCATCCTCAGTATATTTCCCACATCATTTATATGTCTTCATGTTTTCCAGTTTTCTGCCTTTGATCAGACACAGAAATGATGTGGTCTGGTTTCAGAGAGTGATGAAAATACAACCCCTGCTTCTAAAATCTGTGAAAACATTTATAGAATCTCTTGGGAAATTATGGTCTCTTATAACCACAGAACAAAGAAGAACCAAAAGCCTGGGAATATTACTGTTTTATTGTAAATCCTCAGACCTTGGGATTTAACAAAGATTCAGTGAAGACACCTTTTGATCTACCTTTGCTTTTGATATACCTTAATATTGCAGAAAAGCTTCTTTGATGTCCTTCTTTGATCAGAATGGAAGTCCTTCTCAAAGTAGAGTCAATGAGCTCTAACACAAAGTCTTGGCCATTTTTCCACAGAGAGAGATATCTTTTACCAATAAAGGAGAGTATTTGTAGCTCAGGGTTGAAATGAGGGGTCTTTGTTGCTCTCTGAGCTTGGTTGTTGTTGTTGTTTTTTGTTTCATTATCCAAACTAGGTAGCATCACTCCTCAACTGAATTATGGGAAGTGTTTATTCATTATATTTAGAGTGTGCTGTAACCATGACTGTGATCAAAGCTCTGGGCATTACACATGTAAAAGAAACAGGGCTTTGATCATGCAGCTGTAGCCATTATCTTGACTTTATTTTTTGACATCCCTTCCTGTTCAATACCCTATGAACCATATAAATCTTTCTATATTGGATTATTGTTATTAACTCTACACAAGACTATCTTAGAAAAGTCTTTTTGAATCTTCAAAAGTGGTAGTGAAGATGTTTAGCAGGTTTTTGCTTATTAAATGATTTTATAGCTGCTTTGAAATAGATGCACTTGTAACCAATATTTTTTTAAATTATTCTGTCATCTTGAGTGCACGGTAACTCATATTGCCTATTATCATACCAGTCATACAATAATAGCATAGTAAACATTCAGGTATCTGATCATGAGAGATGCCTGTTTGATCAAAAAAATGAACAAACTTCTCAGCAGTCAAGGTCAAAGAACTAATGAGGAGAGCATGCTTGAAACTAAATTAGCATTTGCTTTTAATTTAATTTAAATTTTTTAAATTTATTTTTTTATTAGAATAAAAAATAGATAAATTATTACAAAAACCCATAACAAAAATATTTAAAAAGAAAACAGTAATAAATAAAAACAATTAGCAATATAATCTGACAACTAGATCTTTCAGACTATTAATTTAGGGAAAAGATCTAGTTAATCATAAAAGGAAGAAGAAATAACAGCAGAACATATTTTTATAAATGTATAGTTGCTTTTTTCATATTGGCAAGCAATTTTTATTCTTTTGGAAATTAATTTTCTTAGATTAATAATTTTTAGGTGATGTCTTTACAATGTTCCAAGTGTATCTATAATATTGATATTTTTATGGAATTATAGTTTACAAAGATAGCTTCAAAATATTGAAAGAATATTATTTTTGTATAAATTATCTTGGAATTGTGCTGCTTTAAGCAAATAATTATAGGTTCTTAACAGTTTAAAACATATTCTAGAAACTTCATATTTTGAGATGGTTATCTCTTAATGCTACTAATCAAAATCTTATAGCTCATCAATCTTTTCTAGCTTGATACATTTTATCTGCAAATAAAAAAGAAGAGAGAGTACACAAAAAGCTATAGCTGCCAGGGTTGCCTCAAATTGATAGGAAGCATATACATTTAATTAATAAATAAAATAATAAATAAATACAGGTGGCAGATGTCAATCATTATCTTTCATAATGTTTATGAGACAAAGTAATTATGCAATAATAATATTATTAATGCTTTGTCTAGAATTTCTTTTGGAATTTGTCAGCCCTTGTATTTTGTTAAAAGTTATTGAAAGTAAAATATAATATCTGACATGTTCTAAACATATGTCATAATATATATTGTGCATAATATTATAATATAATAATTTAATATAGCATAAGCACACAATCGTGCCTACCGTCCCTGTCCTATTGTCCCCAATTATTACTTCCTATTTCTTATATTTAAACTTATGTTTTTTATTTATTTCTATTATATTGTAAGCTTTTGACAAAATAAATAAATAATAAATAAATAAACAAGCAGTCTATACCTGGATAAAGCAGTCTACATGAATATGGTTACCGTACAACAGAGGTATTCAGCAGGTTCTGACCTGTTCTGGAGAACTGGTAGCGGAAATTTTGAGTAGTTTGGAGAACCAGCAAATACCACCTCTGACTGGCCCCACCCCCATCTATTCTCTGCCTCCTGAGTCCCAGATGATTGGCTGGGTCTTCTTTGGTTGCCCTGCACAGGAGAACAGAGCTGGAAATCAGGTTAGTGGGTGGGGAGGAATAGGGATTTTGCAGTAACCTTCCCCCGGGAGTGGGGAGGGAATGGAGATTTTGCAGTATCCTTCTCCTGCCACGGCTAACAAGCCACGCCCACAGAACCGGTAGTAAAAAAATTTGAATCCCACCACTGCTGTACAACTATAGTTGCAGGACAAGGTTTTTGATTCTTTTATTTTGGCTAGTCTAGAAAATTTCCTTTCTTGTTTGTATGTTCTGTATGTTTTAAATGATTGTAAATGAAGCAGAACTTGCTTATAATCTGATCTGCTTCACTTTGACACAACATTCTTTAAAAAGTTGATTTCTCTCTTTTTTTAAAAAAAAACTTTTTTCTTAAACGAATGCTTCAAGAGGCAAAAAAAGGTGATTGATTTATTTCATTGCTCATTTGACTAATTTGACCAACAAAATTTACTTACTGATTTACTTACTGATTACTGTTACACCTGTATTGCGGTTAAGGACACTGCACTTGTCAGCTGGAAAACTGACAGTTCGGGTTTGAGACATGAGCACTGCTTGACGGGGTGAGCTCCCATTACTTGCTGTAGCTCCTGCCCACCTAGCATTTTGAAAGATTGCAAATACAAGTAGATAAATAGGTACCACTTCAGTGGGAAGATAACAGCATTCCGTGCACCTCGGCATATAGTCATGCTGGCCACATGACTACAGAAGTGTCTTTATATACACTGACTCCCATGGCTAAAAAAAAAAGATGAGCATTGCCCCCTTGAGGTGGACATGACTGGATAGGAGAACCCTTTATTTTTTCTTTACCTATACCTGCATTATGAATTAATGGAGTGGAATGTGGATAATGCCCTCATATTAATACAGAATTCACCAGTATAACCCTAAGATTGGGATAGATGCATTATCTACTGTAGTCATTGGGGGTAACATCATGGACTGCATCTTTATTGTCACAGTGAAATCCTTGTTTTTTTTAGAGGTGTTACATTCAAAATATAACATATTTTGAACACTATTAAAATACATTGATTTAAGTGGGGTAAACATTTAATTGGTTGAGAAATGTAGCTAGTCTTAAAATTTTTACTTCATTTTCTTCTGATCATAAAAACTGACTGGGTTAAAACAATAAAAATGTATTTCCTGGAAATGAGCCAAATAATCACAGAAGCATCTGGGAATTGAAAGGCTACCCCTTTTGGGTAGGCAGCAACGTTTTCAGATGCTTCCCCATCTGTTCAAATTCACCACACCATCTGTAGCTTCTCTCTGAGACAAAATGGCTTACCTTTGAAAATTGTTATAAATGATGTGACTTCAGTAAAACACAATGCTTTGAAACCCCATTCAACTGTTCGATGAGATCTCTGGTAACTTAGATTTGTACAAACGGCACTGTTTTTCAGAAACAGAACAGGGACTTTTGGGTTTCCCACAATGAAAACAACTTCATTGTCTATTGGCACCAGTAATTCAAACTTGTTTTTCGTAGCACAAGGGGACAGAAACACAGATGTTTTAAATATAATTATGCCTTTGGTTGTAGACAGCATTTCCCTCCAGCTCTCTCCAAAAACAAGATTCCTCCCCCTCAGATGGGCCTTGATCTTCCATCCAATATTGCTGCCTTCGGGCTTTCCAGTCTCTTGGTCCTTTGCCACCTTTGGGCTCTTCTACCTTTTTCTGCTTTTCCTTGCTAATTGACTTTCTGTGTAGTTCCACTCCAGACCTTACATATGCAGAAGACCTGCCAGATTCAAAGGCCAGCATTTGTTCATCTATCTAAAGTTGCAATGCAGTGAGAGAGAAGATGGTTTGTTCTGTTCATTTCAACCCACTCAGCCTTGTAGCCCCATCATACCCCCAAAGGACATAGAGAATCTGAAGTCACCAGTTTTACTCAAAACTTCATCTCTGCTTTAGATAGTCCGTCCTCCCTCTTTCTTTCTTTCTTTCTTTCTTTCTTTCTTTCTTTCTTTCTTTCTTTCTTTCTTTCTTTCTTTCTTTCTTTCTTTCTTTCTTTCTTTCTTTCTTTCTTTTGCTTCCCATCTTATCATCAAGTGGCTTTTTATTTTGTTTTGTTCATTTAAAAAATAAAAATAAGAGAAGTTCAATATTTAATTGACTTCAGATTCAAGCCCAATAATCTGGTTACAAGGTTACACTACTGTTTCTTTAGCAATATCTAAGAAAGTTTTGTGTTCTAAATAAACGGGTTAAAAAATGGTTTATTTAATGCTGCTGAAACTCATTCCAGTTTAGTAAATAAAATGTAAAAGTCATAGTTTACTACAGTGTGTGAACTAGACCTAGGTCAGCTTTTCCTAACTAAGATCCTCTAGATATGTTGGATTATCTCATAGGAGGGCATTAGATTGGAAGAAAGCTGCATTGAATGTGACATTTAGGTTATCTATCATCTGTTCATTCATCCATATGGATAATGTACAAAATGTACAAAGGAATATACAACTAGGTATTTATTTATTTTCATATTTATTTGGCTAACCATCTCACATGACAACAGACCATAAAAATAATTTTAAAAACATAAAAAGTATAAAAGATATTACTATCAAAATGAGTGTCAGACATTCTTAACAATAATGTCTCATCAGTTCACTGTTCTCCTGTGATCACCCCACCCCACCCCGGCCTATTGACACAATTAGGTTTTTAGAAACCTAGGAAAGTCAGCAAAAATGGAGTCGATCTCAGTTGTGCAGGGGGATAATGTTCTATAGGGAGAGTGCCACATCAAAAAAGACTTATCTCCTGGGTCCTATCAAATGTAACTCCTTAGTAGACAGAACCCACAACATGACTCTTTTGCTATACCTGAAGTGGCAGTCCTTCAAATAACCCAGTGTGGGAGATAGGCTGGCTGAGCCAGGAGGAGTCAAACAAGGACTTAGTCTAGAATCTCTACATGGGGACAAGAGGACACCCCCTTTGCCCATGTATGGATTCTAGACTAAGTCCCCATTTAACTCCTTCCCTGGCTCAACCAGCCTCTGTCCTACACCCAGCCCCATGCTATGAAGGGATTCAAAGATCAAAATCAGCACCTTGAATTGGATGTGGAAGCAAACTGGTAACCTGTGCAACTCATGTACCCCATTCTAGAGGCCTGTACCAGCTGAAGCTTCTGGGTATCCTTAAGGACAGCCCCATGTACAGCACATTACCATAGTTCTCCTGGGAATTGACCACAAATAACATGATATAAATGTAGATATACCATTGATACGGTTGTAAAGTCAGGTAGAGGACTGTATTGCTACAACAGAGGATTTTCACCTAAGAACAGCTGTGTAGGCAAAGAGTTGCTATAATTTTATTTTCACTTTCTCAAACAAACTGATATTTCTACCATATGTTGTGAATTTTATTGTATTCATTCACATTTTCCAATAATGTTATTCTCTGTTAGTTTCTCTGAGATATTTGAGGAACGATGGGAAATTAAATGCTGTGATCTTCCCCAACGTGCCTTTGGCTGATGGAAAGCGCCATACAGTCCTCCTTCGGTTAAGTGGGGTGCAGCATGGCAACAGTAAAGCTGAATTGTATGTGAACTGTGTGCAGGTGGATTCTGTTCAAATTTTGCCTAAAATCTTTTCGGAGCTGCTGCAAAGCTCAGAATCCATAGAATTGCGAACACTCCAGAAGAAACCACAGGTAAGTACTGAAAAAGAAAAAAAAATGTCTGTGATGGAAGGGTTTATGGCCCATGAACTAATGTACTTGTTCTGACCCATATTTGCATGCCTGGAATCTCCCAAGATTCATCACTGAAATCTGGTAGCAAGATGGCATTTTTCAATAGTATGATTTTCAGAGTTTTTATTTTAATAAAACAAAGATGCGTGATGCCTTCTCTATCTTAGCATGCTTAGTTTCCTTTAAAAGAAGCATTACCAGCTCCCCCAACATTAAATAGGGAACTGAATTTCAGCCCCATCCTCCAGTGAAATCACTGCATTGCTGCCTTGTCCTTTGCAGCCCTTTCATCCCAAATAAAGGAGAACAGTTCAGTTTCTAAGCCCAAACCTTGGCCTATCCTTTGTGCAGTAGAGATAGTCCTTGACTTAAAACCATTCATTTAGTGACTGTGCAAAGTTACAGTAGTACTGAAAAAAGTGATTTACAACCGCTTTTTATACTTATGACTGTTGAAGCATCTCCATGGTCACAAGATCAACATTTGAGCACTTGTCATGTATTTATGATGGTTACAGTTTGCTGGGATTATGTGATCACCTTTTGCAGCCTTCTGCAAGCTGGATTCACTTAACAATTGTATTACTCATTTAATAGCTCCAATGATTCACTTAACAACTGTGTAAAGAAAGGTTGTAACATGTGACAAACTCAGTTGTCTTGTTTAGCAACAGAAATTTTGGGGTCAATTGGGTCATAAGTCAAGGACTACCTGTATTTCGCCTTGCTTCTGTCCCAAGTGTTGACAGCATCTGTTCTGACCATGTGCTCACCACAGATGGGATGAGATGAGATGAGATGAGATGGGAAGAGTATGCAGGCAAGAACTCCGTTGGCAACTCCCTTGGCACAATACTTGAGTGAGGACTTTGCAAGGTCCACTTCCTCTCATAACCGGAAGAGCTCTGCTGTGTGGCTTGCTTCTTTCCTGCTCCTTTTTCACAGGAGAAGAACGAATGCACACAGCGTGCAGAATATGATATGTATGCACACAGCATGCATAATAGAACACATGAAAGGCAAGAACAACAGCTATATTATTCTCCCATACTCTCTGGAGATTAGGTGAAAAAAAATTACCTATTCATGAAACTGCTAAACTACTTACAGGCTGGAAGTTTCCTTCTAGCATGGAATTATTTTATTAGTGAAATTGTATCCATGTAGATCTAATTGGTGCCTTTAGGGAGAAGCAGTGGTTTCTAAAGGAAAGGTTTGTCTGCTTTATATATATTCAGTGCCTGTGTTCACTGCATGTCAGTAGTCAGAAAATCAAGGTATAAAATAAAACAATAAAATCAAGGCAATAGAACCATTCTTCCTTTGCCCCCTATCTTTTATTGTTCAGGAGACTTTAGATGACTTGAAGCTGATTGTGAAGGGGTCCTTGTCCCAAGTGGAAACTCTACAAGACTGTTTTCTCCCACAGACAGAGCCACCAGTTCAGTATTCAGGTAAGGTTGATATCTTGGTCATAGGTAAACTAAACAACTCTACATGAAACTGTTATTTAAAGCCTTCATACAGCTGTATTTTTATCTGGGACTCCAAGCCATCTGCTCACCATATGCTGAATGCACTTCCAGAGCAGCAGGATCACTCAAGGAGTTTTTTAACATTAGATGTTCATGTTCTTAGAAATTTATTTGCATGGTGGATATGTTTCTTAATATTTCTTGACTTAGCAAGTCTTGACAACCAAAAATAATTTTAACAATTTCATTAGAATGAAACCTAAAAGAATGTGGACATGTAAGATTAGTATATTTTGTGTATCAATTGGAATTAATGATAAATAGGTATAGTACAATTATATTTTAGTGTATGCATTTATATCCTAACCAGCAATGATCCTGTGAGGTGGGTTGACCTGAAAGTCAATGACTGGCCCAAAGTCACCAAGCCAAATTGGGATTAAAACTTACAGTTCCCCCAGTTTCTAAACTGGTGCCTTAATTACTAGACCAAACAGGTTCTCAATACAGAGTCTATACAGTACCTAAATTAAAACAGGTTTGTTTTTTTACATGACTGATACCTTCTGCATATACTTACTTAGATACAAATGCCATAATTCTTTATAAAGAAAAGTTTCTGGGATAAATTAAAGAATAGAAATAACTATGTAAAGCATGATTTATAGCTGTATTATGTAAGATGTAAAAAACAGATCTTTCATAAATTCTGTTTTTGAAAAAATATCAGTTTATATGCTTAACTGCAAATTTGAAAATAATCACTAAAAATTAGATAGCAAACAATACATCTCCCACGATGACTTGTTTGCTTACTATTCTTGTTCTCTAGATCTTGGAAACGCCACAGCTTTCTGCTCCCTTTTCTTACATTCCTTTTATTCCAGGGACAGGCAACATTAGGATGGTCCTTAACATGTGTTTAATAGTTGAGTACTGCCAAGTGGGTGGGACCATAATGAAACATATGGGTGGGGCTTGATTGGGGAAATTTAGGGGGCTGCCTTTTTTAATCTGAGGGTTGCCTATTTCCAATTGTTTCTGCCGACCTGGTACATTTGGACGGAGTGGATGTGCTCTGGGTCCCCTCTATTAAATGGTGTCATCTTGTGGGACCAAGGAAATACACCTTCTTCTTTTCTTTCCAACAGTTCTGGGAAGCCCATAATACCTGGCTTTGCTCCCAGATCTAGAATTAATGTATTTGTGGGACTCTTGTGCTTGTATTGTTGTGGTTGTTTTTAATTCAGGATGTCATGTTTTCTTTAATGTTTTTTAAAAACGTTTTAAACTCTTTTAACTATGTAGTTGAATTTTATAAGCCACCAAGTTTCCTAGACTGGGTGGCCATTGTAATTAATTAATTAATTAATTAATGGAAACTGCTTCCAGTATTCAGCTATCATGGCCTGAGGCAGTTGGGGTCTTTTGGCCCCCAAGCCACAGTGTGATCTTTACTTTATTTTTAAACCATGCTTAGGTTGGAATGTCTTTCCAATAAAGGATAGTTCCCTGTAAATTGGGATGCCTAGGTATCTTATGGTTAAATGAGAATTTCACTCAAGTTCAACCATATAAAAGAATGTATGAAAGGATTGTATCACTTCTTGTATTGCTAAGATTTCTGATCCTACTGTATATTCTATTAGTTGCTTGATTGTCATACATGTCTCTACAGGTGACTTTAACAGGCAATTATTAAGTCACATGTTGCAAATGAACCAGATACTAGTTGAAGTGAAAGATCTCCTCAGACAGCAGGTATTTCTGAGCTTTCTGTTACAACTTTTTTGTTTTGCTCTAAGAAATATATATGATAATATTATTTTAGGAAAGGAACTGATTGTGTTCAAATGCCCAAAAGATAGTTTAATCTTCTCCAACTTAGTTCTTAGTTCTTCTTTCATTTGCTGGATTTCTGATCCCAAAATTGAAAATGATGTCTCAGAACAGGAAGATGTGTCTAATTTAATTACATTATTTATCAGCAAAGAGCCCATTCATGCAAACCCTAAAAAGACCTGCCAAAATTATGAACACTAGGACTATTTAGGCTGAGAGCAAGAAGATGATGCAAGAAATGTGTGTCCATTGAACTGTCTGGTCACCTGAGTAAAACTCTAGATTCCCACTAGATTTAGATGCTGGAGCAAAATTTTAATTCAACAACCAAGCTTAACATGCAATAAAGGTGACATTCATGCAAATGATAAGGTGTACATTTTAAATTAATACTTTGGCTTGAGAGATGTAGTTTTAAAGCTTAGACTTAAGTATTAGCTACTCTATATACTTCTAGTAAATTCATCAGAGAGCTAAAATATGAAAAGGTGGCTGTTTACTTGGAACAGACTTGTCATAAGTTCAGCATGAATAAATATGCTAGTACCAATCTCATACTGAGGAATTGCAAACGTAAGCTATGTTATAGCATTAATTGTATAATGTGCCTTTTATGGATAAAAAGTGATGAAGTCAGAATAATTTGAGGTAGATGGCTCTCTTTAACACATTTTTTTTTGTCCAACTAAGGTTAAGGAGACAGCCTTTCTGAGGAATACTATAGCTGAATGCCAAGCATGTGGTAGGTCCTTTTGATCTCCTGGGTTTAAGGAGGATTTTTATAAACTTTACAATTAAATCACAACAAACCTGTTGTTATGTGTAGCTGCTAACTATGTAGCTAGGTGGCATGAGATGACTGATTTTTATGGGGCTTCCTTAAATAATGGTGGAATTATGCACATAAGCCTTAAGTGATTACTACTGCAATTAATTTAATAGCCTCACCCTAAGCATGCTAATTCAGTAATTGTGTTATGCACGCTGCTGTTCACATAATAATTGCAGAAATGAACTACTCAGATTCAGTAGGAGAAATGACCTGCTACCTTACTGAGGGATATTCTCATTGGCTCGCTCAAGATTTACTTGATTTAAAATGCTATACTTTATCATCATAGGATTGGGAATTGGAAGTTACCCCACTCCTTCCCCACATCCCCCCAAACCCAAGTGTGAAGCTGATACTTGTTTCCCGGGGGTACATTGCACAGATACAACAGATGGGTACCAATGTGGTCCTTGTCCTGAAGGCTTCACTGGAGATGGAATTATTTGCACAGATATCGATGAGGTGAGTTATTCTATGAATGCTTTTCAAAGCTAGCCTGAGGTACAGTATTTTGCTATCTGAGACATAGGTGGAGTTAGCAGAAGCTGAAGCTAACTTAGAAGGGAATCAGGTTTTCTAACACACCCAAAGGCAGCAAGTGAGTTTAAAAGTTGCAGGCATCCAGGCATAAATAGCTTAATAAATAGCATAAATAGCATAAATAGTTCTCTGAGGGAGAAAAACAGAGAATCACTCCACCTGCCTCTTTGCTTTTGTTCCCTGTGGTACAGACAGTCCTCAATTTACCACCATAATTGAAGCCACAATTTGGTGGTAAGTCATGATGATGGTTAAGTGAGTCACCATGTGACTGCACCTGAACTTTATGTCTTTTATGTGGTGATTATTAAGTGATTGTAAAGTGAATGTTTTGATTATTAAACAAACACAGTGGTTGTTAAATGAACTCATTGTTTGCTATGGGATTTTTTTTTTTACTTCTGGTAGCTAGAAGTAAATGCCAGTTTCTGGCAAAAACATAATAAATCATAGTAATATGAGCACAGAGGTAAGGGGAGCCTGGCTGTCTGAACTTCAAATCCAGGTTGTAATGGGTCCGTTGTAGCTGAAAATTTGAGGATTACCTGTAGGTGTGTTGCTCTCCCTAATGGTATGATTGGTCCTGAATAGACAAAAACATGCAGTACTGAGGATCAATACAACCCAAGCTGTCTTATTCTCTGGCTGAGGATAATTTCTCAATATCTAGAGCACCCATATTTGAAAAAGAAAAATTTGGGCTCCTTTTTAATTCTAATGTTATAATTAGGGATTCAGAATGTGAGTCAAGTAGTGCATCTAATAAATATCTGCATGTTTAACTTGGTTGGCTGGATACCTTATAATTAGTATGTAGTAAAAATTGGACCTTTGTCTTTCAGTGCCAATATAAACCATGCTTCCCAGGAGTGCAATGTGTGAACATGGCTCCAGGTTTCAGGTGTGAAGCCTGCCCACCAGGATATATTGGGCAGATCATCCAAGGAATGGGAATAAACTTTGCCAAAAATAACAAACAGGTTTGTCATCTCATTATTGTTCTTTGCAAGCAAATGCAGTCTAGTTCCTGTAAATATTTTGCTTCATATAACTGGACTAATTTTTCTTCAAGATCCAATTGGTAATCTCTATACAAATACCTGCATCGTTTCTCTATATACAGCAAAATGTGGTTTATATTATTAATAGGCTGCAGTATTTATTTCAATTGATGGCCTGCTCATTTTAAGGCTTCCAAGGGCTTTGTAACATTTAAATTTTATTTTGTCATTGTTTTGTGCCTGGTCCAATACACATATCCTTAGGTTCTTCCTAGTTGGCTTTGTTGAAATGTGATTCTATTATGACACATTACGCCCTTGCCCCTTCTTGAGCCATGCTTCACAGGGTCTCCCCACTTCCTCTGAGGCACCCCTCATTCTTTAAATGGGATTCCATTTAACAGCTTGTAAGATTGCTTAATGCTACAACTGGAAATGCTGGGATTGTTGCAAAGCAGTCACATGGGCATCTTGCTTAGTGACTGTTTCGCTCCACAACTAAGATTTCAGTCCCAATTGCAGTTGCAAGTCAGGAACTACCTGTAATTTAATTTTCATCTGCTCCTCACTTCAAAAGCTTGCATTCATGATCATTCAGCATTTATGGACTGTGAGTGCTGAAAACAGGAGATTTGAAGTCAGCTGGTATCTCTGAAGTTTCAAGTTGATCCTTCTTTTTTCTAGACTCAGTGCAAAGACCTGCAACTTTCTCTGATGTTCTAGGATTATAACAAAATGGAAACATTGTGATTTAAACTTTCCTTTCTTTTTTGTTCTCTGGGTTTTGCTTTGTTTATTGTTCTGCCTCATGAAGAGTTCTAAAAAAAGTTTTCTCATTATCGGGAGCTTATATTGATTTGTTTGATTGGATTTTTTTAAAAAATGATCTTATAATTCTTTAAAGTTATTATTTAAAGGAAATAAATGCCTATAGTTTTTATCTACAAGATAAAAACAGCTCAAAATAAAGACTTCTCTACAAAGAGCAAATATTGACTTAATATTAGTTACATGTGAAATGTTTTGCATATATGCAATAACAGATTTCATTTGTTCCCCAGTTAGTTTAATAGCTAAATTCCCTCTCTTGTATCTTCCCATCCAATATCATCCATTCTTTGAAATATATATGCATTTATATTGTACAGACTGAATACACCTGCTGCAGTAGAATGATTTGACTTTTTCTTCTACATTAAAGCTCATTTATGATTTAATAATATAGTTCTTTGAAAATATTCCTTTTTCTATATTTTAAAATATATATTCCTTGCTATAAACATTTTATTCTTAAACAGCAGATCTGTTAGAGTCAACTTGCTTTTTTATCACATTAGGCTTGTTTGGACATAGATGAATGTCAGCGTATAGCAAATGGAGGTTGTGTCCCAAATTCCCAGTGTATAAATACCATGGTAAGCGTTACTTACAATTGTCTGAATTTAATCATTCTTTATTTTTCAGAAATAACAGTAAACTTGTCTTGCTGATGACTTTTTTTGCGGTGAATAGAAGAAAGCAAAAGCATATTAATTATAGCAACAGCACTTATTTACCATTTCATAGTGCTTTACAGCCCTCTCTAAGTGGTTTACAGAGTCAGCATATTGCCCCAAACAATCTGGGTCATTTTACCCACCTCAGAAGGATGGAAGATTGAGTCAACCTTGAGCCAGTGAGAATCAAACTGCTGGCATTCAGCAAAATTAGCCTGCAACACTTCATTCTAACCACTGTGCCACTATGGCTCTTATATACTTGACTTATTACCAATTAATGACTAAAAACAGATAAAAACATGGAAGCTTGATATTGATGGCAGCGTGATCACAAAGTACTTCCTTACCTTGAATAAGTTTTGCTCTCCCAGGCTAGATGAATTGCGTCCATGGACATTTGTTTATGAGTGGGGAGAGGTTTTAAATGATGATATGTACATCATGATAAAAATGCCAGGACTTCTATACTTGCATTAGATATTGGGATGCCTTTATAGTATGTAAAGCTGGGATTTGCATCCTGAAACAAGCATGTGTGCATTTATTTATAGATATATTTATTTATATTTTGAATTTCTAGATTGCCTGTCTCCCTCAAGAAGGGACTCTGGGCAGTATACAGTATCATTTTACTTCATAGTGGCTTGCTGCAGATGCTGCAGATTACAAGAAACTGAAAGAAGTTGCTGATAGTTTATCTCAGTATTTCTCAAACTTGGCAAATTTAAGATGAGTGGACTTCAATATCCAGAATTTCTCAGCCAACATGGCTGGCTGAAGAATTCTAGGAATTGAAGTCTACCCATCTTAAACTTGCCAAAGTGGAGAAACACTGGTTTAACTGAATGTATAAATATTACCTTTAGGACTTCTTAGATAAATGGGTAAAATGCCAAATGATTGAAGAACAAAAGTTGAACTTAATCTTCAAAAAGGAGTAAAAGAAAAACCCAAGGAACTAGAACACTTATTCTGACAAAAATGTCCACAAAACCCCAAAGCAGATAATAAAAAGATTGATCTATTAAATATCTTGAACTCAATACAATAATTAGAAGTCAGCATGGATTTGGCAAAGAGCAAGTCTTTTCAATGTAATCTCATTTTTTTTGTTAGATCTTCTTTGATAAATTGTGGAAATGCTGTGGATCTAATATATATGGATTTCAACAAAGCAACTGTGAAATGCTGAGTAGTGAGTTAATAAGGGTGGACTGGATAGCAACAAATTAATGATTTTAAGATAGAAGAAGACAGGTTCCAACTGAGTATTAGAATGGAACCACTTACCTAGGCAGGGGTTGTTTTTAATCACTGGTTCTTTTAGTTGCAGTGTTTAGTTTATGGATTTATATGTTTTTCCCAAGGGTTCTTACCATTGTGGTGCTTGCAAGCCAGGATTTACTGGAAATCAAGTCAGAGGATGCAGGGCTGAACGAAGCTGTAGAAATCGTGTTCTGAACCCTTGTAGCATCCATGCCGATTGTTCAGAATTAAGACAAGGAGACATCGTGTGTGTTGTAAGTCCGTGCTCTTCCCATTATTATTAAATATATATAAAACTTAATCTAGAGCAGAGATTAAGAAGAAAAGAAAAGTGAGCAAAAGAAAAGCATGCATGACAAATCATATTTTATATTATATTTGTATTTAAAATTTGCTATAGTAGTATTTTGGAAGTATATTTGTATCCATGTTTTGTTTGGAAAATTCTGTTAATATATTTTTTAAAAATGTCTTACTGTGCCTACCTTTTCCAGTTTGACAGCTTTTGGATGTATTGGGACTGCAGAATGTCAGCCATGTAATCAGTCACCATCTCATCCTACCTATGAATTTTGGAAGTTTGCAGACATATCTCATTTTAAGCAACTCAGAACTGAGAAAGTTGTAGTATGCATGTGTATAGAAGGCTTAGAATATGTTCTAATTTAATTTAATATCCTTAGATATTATGGGAATATAGCTCCTGAAATTCATTGGCTATGCATGTGGAAACTCCAGGGCCTACAAACTCATTCAGAAGACATCAGAAAGCGAAGGATGACATACAAAGACAGGATTCAAATTCTTTTTGAATTTCAGTTGAAAAAGAAAGCATAGGAAGGACTGTACCCACGAAGACATCTCCAATGTTGCTTTCATTATGTAATACTTTTGCTCACAGTGTGGCATTGGCTGGGCTGGTGATGGCTTTCTGTGTGGAAAAGATGTTGATATTGATGGCTATCCAGATGAAAAACTTCCATGCTCAGCTGACAGTTGCAAAAAGGTTAGCAGTTTGACAAAGGCCTGGGTGACAAGATGAGTATGTTTTATGTTTCTTTCATGTTTCAAAATTTAATCAAAGAACGTTTATGTTCTCGAGCTATAGTGAAATACAATATGTACACCTCTTATTGATGCTACTTTGATGATTACCAACACTGCAATCCATCATATCTGATCGCACTGATTGGAAAAGGATGCTCTATTGTGTTTACTTTGTAGGACAACTGCATGTTTGTTCCAAACTCTGGACAAGAAGATGCTGATAGAGATGGTGTGGGAGACGCCTGTGATGATGATGCAGATGGGGATGGTATTCCTAACGATCAGGTACTGGTTAGGAGTTGGTGTATTTTCTATCTGCAACCAGTCTGGACAACAGGGACCATTGTATCAAAAAATTAGTCCACCTCTATGTTGATTTTTACCATTGTTGTACCAGCACTTTTGGCACTTCTAGAGATTAAAAATCCATTTTATGCAATAGAATAAATAGGCCATGTCAGCTAGTAAAAATGGTAAGAGTAATTGAGGATGGGTGAGCATTTTGTTCCCCCAAAGTTACAATTAAAAAAAGAAGTTTGAAAAGGATATTTCTACTCTGAAATCACAATGTTTTTTTTTTTTACTAAATGTTTGTTGGAAGAAATGTCTATCTGGGTTTAGTTCCAAGTGGGAACATGGAAGCTGCTTGGAAGGATGTTTTTTTGGTGAACAGGACCACATGGGTTTGAAGTCCTGGGTAGCCAACCACATGGAGTGGAGAGGGAGAGATATTTATACTCACTCTTGGGCCTTGCCCTTGAGCTTCCTGTTTCTGTTCAAGAAATGCATTCTATTGGTTGCTGTAGAAGTCGTGCAAATCCTAGGAATTTGTCTGAGATAAGTTTGGTTGAACTGTGTTGGGTGATGTAATGTAGGGGCTTGGTTTGCCATGTGGTGAGCTTCTATTATGTCCTGGAGGGTCATGTCTTAATCCTATCACCCTGGAGCTGAAGTCTTTTGTCTTATAGATAACCTGGCACCAAAATATCTGCTGGGAGCAGGGAGCTGGGGCTGAGTTTCTGTCTCCAAGAGCATGTTTCTCAATTTTTCATCCAGGGAAATATAATATTCTGCCTTTTTAATTTTTCCTAAAATATTTCATTCTTCTAGGAGAGGGGTGAGTTCTAACTTTCTACATATTGTTTTGTATTTTGTGAGATACCCCAATTGCAAAAATTGGGCCACAAGAATCTGACTAAAGAAAGTGAGTGATTGTCAGTAGGCCTATCCTTCTATTATTAACCTTGCTATGCAAAATCTTCAGTGGCTATAAGCTGGGAAGGATTTACATGTGTTATATTTGACTTTCCGTAATTGTAAAGGCTTCTGCAGCTGTTTGTGCTCTGGGTAACAGATAAGGCTCTTGATAGTTAGCCTTGTTTTGTCAAACAAAGGAGAAAGTCTGACACGGGAAGGCCAAAGGGGACAAGTGATGTCACATACATTATTGTATTGGTGTACAAATGATGCAATATTCATCAATTACAAAAAATATAATTCACAGCATTTGCATGATGTTATGATGGCATCATAGCTTTACTGGAAGCCAACAAACATGGCGTCTTTTTTGTGCATTTCTCTTGTCCATGTATCTGAATAATTTTTGGATTCAGATGACCAATATCCTGTCTCCCAACTATACTCAAAATTAATGCAGGTCATTTGGTTATTTTCTTACCCATTCAGATAGGAGGCTGAAGTAAGCATAAATGTGCTTACATATTTGCAAATCTTTACAGGTTGCAAAGAACCACCATATTTTAATGCCATCTGTCAGGGGCAATGACATAGAATCTGTCCTAGATTCCATTACATGAGACGGTTTAATCAAGGGGATCCAGAGTATATCTTTCCTATTGGATTTCCTAGGAAGGGCAGAAATAATTGGAGTTAGACAGTCCTCTAAATTATCTGGCCCTGTCTCATGAAGGCTTTAAAGGGGACAATCAGCACTCTGAATTGCATTTGGAATTACAACTTTTACAGGCCTGAAAACAAAGCAAAGCTGAGTAAGATCACAAGCAAGTCACTATTTTACTTAGCAACTGCTTCATCTAACAACACTTGGTTGGCCTGGAGTAAAGACTGCTGATATCTAATCCTGGGCCATTAGATGACCTCAGCTCAGAGATTAGGTGGGAGAGGGGACAGAGTAAAACCTTGCACAAAGCAATGCCTAAAGCTAGACTTCTAAGAAAGAGTTATCTAACTCTCTGTTTCAGGACAACTGTGTCTTGACTCCTAATGTTAACCAGAAGAATAGTGACCAAGATATCTTTGGTGATGTTTGTGATAACTGTCGCATGGTATTAAACAATGACCAGCGGGACACTGATGGAGACGGCAAAGGAGATGCCTGTGATGAAGATATAGATGGAGATGGTGGGTCAATCTTCATTTCTGAGACATATTGAAAAATCATATAGGCAACTACATGTAGCATTTAGGGCTTTGCAGTTTGCATATCAACAATCACATTTAGGCAACTGTATTGTATTGTATGCTTTGAAGTATTTCAGACCTGCTTTCTCATATCAGTTTATCAGAAAGCAATTTTTGAGTCAGATAGGCAGTGACCTCATTGCCATATCATGGGCAGGAAATAGGAACATAGCCTTAGATTGAAAATCAGGCAGACCCAGACAGAACATCTATGTTCACTCTTTGCTCTGATATTGGAGGAACTGAACTTTCTAAAATCATGCCTGTGACAGAGCAGCAGCACAAAACTGAAGGTGCACAGGTGACAGATCTTTTGTTTCAAGGATACTCATTTAACTAACAAAAACAATTTCTTCCTGATGCTTGCAAGCATTCCTATTCAACTGCCTTCACCTCATCCCTGCCCCTTGGGCTGGAGCAATGATTGACGGTTGGCAAGGTTTTGGATTCAAACTCTCTTCCAGCACACCTTCACCTAAACCCCATCATGTTTCTATTTCCCTATTTCTTGATATTGAACAGATGTCTGGAAACAGTGTCAGTGCGCAGCAGGGGATTTTTGGCATCAGATTTCTGGTTGATGCTCCTTATTTCTGCTTCAGAGAGTGTATTCTAAATTTTCCTGTGACCCCTGAAATATCTTCCCAGAAATATATGTTTGTAAGCAATGTGTTTTATTAATTTTTATAATTTTATGCTGTTTTATATTTTAAATATTTATTATATATTTTATTATATATTTTGAGTCAGGCATATACTTTGAAATATGTAGATAGATTGTGTTCTGACCCAAACCTGTTCCAAGAGAGCAAACACAAGACAAAGGTAGCAGCACAGCCTTTTAATGTTTCATCTATGAATCCTGTTTCTTCACAGATAAAAGGCAGCTTCCAACTAATTAGCTTCCACAAGAAAGAGCTTTGCCAAGTTTTTTCAAGGCTGCCAAAAAACAACAGATAAGAAATAGTTTACAACACAAGAGTCTTCAAATACCAAATGTAATGTCCACGAGGCTGAGTTTCAAAACGTCTTTGCTTCCTACAAAGAACATTCGCTGCACAGATGCCTTTATCTTCTTGAAGGAGGGGCCATTACCTTGCAGCCTTATTCCCGAGTCGCCCATGCTGTTGTGGTTGCTCTTTCCTGCAAGCAATCCTGCGCGCACGCGCATTTGGCACAGGCTCCTCGGGAACTTCCTCATCACTGCTGCCAGCCCCCACAATCTCTGAAGGCAGCAGTCCACTCCCTAATGGTCCTGGCCCCTCATCTGAGTCCTTGCTCTCCTCAGCCGTCCACACCTGCTGCCAGCTAACTACAGCAGATTGATACTCTCTCATACAATACATGTACAACTTGGGAGTCCTAGATTCTTAATTCCTGCTTGAAGAGTAGGTGGTGATTGTGGCCATGAGGATCCATTGAGGAAATTCCCATTGCATCAAGTACCAACAATGGAAGCTTTATATTCTAGGAGAACATCAAACCTATGACCATTTGGTCTTCCCTAAGAATGGTAGCAAAAACTGAGTAGAGCCAGGATGGATACACCACCTTCATCCCAATCCTATCAAGGCTAATCCACAAGTGATATCTTTCCACCTCTCTCTTTAAAATAGCATTGCATATAAACATATGTAAAAAGCAAACCAAGTAATAATTAGAAAGACGTCTGCCCAGTCAACTCATTCTACATTCAATCTAACAGGCTACCCTAACAACTAAGATGTGGTAGAGCAGTGGTCAACATTTTTTAATGGCTAGATCCAATATTTATTTATTTTTATTTCCCCACCAACCATGGGAAGATTTATCCATATCAGAAACTGAAAAAAATATCAAGTTTTTTTTTTAACATGGATGGTTCAAATAGTACTTTTCACAGAGGTTTAAGAAAACCTTTTCTTATTTTGCCCTGTCTCCAAAGGGAAAAAGAAAACCAGAGCCAAAGTTGTGATGCCAAAAATTGGTCATTGGGTTTAAATTTCTGTGATCTGATCTGGGAATATACTTGGACACATTTTTCCTCCCTTCTGGTGTTTTGGTGATCATAAGGTAACATTAATTATGTGCTCCATTTTATTCAGGGATTAAGAATGTTTTGGACAACTGTCAGAAAATAGCCAACTGGGAGCAGAAAGATAGAGACAATGATGGTGTTGGCGATGCATGCGACAGCTGCCCTGATATCAGCAATCCCAATCAGGTGAGCAGATGTCTGGTGTACCTGCAAAGACATCAGTCTTCAGTGGAATTAAAAATGAGAATTACAAATTTGCTATAAAGTTTCAAGTTTATTCGTCTTAGTTCAGGCTTGTAAAAAAAGTATTTTACAAGAGGTATCCACAGCCATTGCTGCTTCATCTTACAGTTACATTCATAAATTTGCAGCGAAGTCAAGAATAATTGAATTAATAAAGGTAGTCATTGACTTATGACCACAATTGAGCCCCAACTTTCTGTTGCTAAGTGAGGGAATCTTTAAGTGAATCTTAATGACCTTTCTTGCCAGAGTTGATACGTAAATTAATAAGTGAATCTGGCTTCCCCATCAACTTTGCTTGTCTGAAGGTTGCAACAGGGATGGGATTCAAATTTTGTAACAACCGGTTCTGTGGCCGTGGTTTAGTTGGTGGGTGTGGCCAACTCAATATCACTCACATCGAGGCACGCTTCTCCTGGCCTGGTCTCTCACAACTGTTACAGCATCCCCATAGTCATGAGAGGCCAGGCGAGGAGATGCGTGCCTCGATGTGAGTGATATTGAGTTGGCCACGCCCAGCCAATAACATGACCACCAAGCCATGTCCACCCAGTCACATGACCACCAAGCCATGCCCACCACCTAAGCCATGCCCACAGAACCGGTTGTTAAAAAATTTGAATCCCACCCCTGCTTATACACAAATACTGGACTATACCAACCCATTATTTTTCATTTGTAAAAATGCATATGATGCTCTTGTGAGTCCCAGGGGTTTTCCTTATTTTTTAAAAAATGATGCTTTATTTATTTTAATTAAAAGAATCTTTAAAAAAACACTTTCCAGTACTGAAACAGCCGATCAATTTTGGGGTTGAGTAGCGATATTGCATATCTCCTCAGCTCCAAAGTTGGGATTCTTTGGTAGAAAACAGGCCAAGCAACAGTGTTTCTTTGCTTGAAAAGAGAAAGTCAGATGGGTCATTATTAGTTCAAAGCTTTCCACATAGACTCAAAGCACCACCTCTGCCAGCTGTATTTTTCATTGGCCTTTCCTAGAAATGAGTGTGGGGGCTGAAATAGCCACTAAATCAGGGCTGTCAAACTCCCGGGCCCGCATCAAATACTGGCCACGCCCATGCCCAGTTTAGCAAAGGGGGGGAAAAAGTCGATACGTAACATGATGCCACTGTGACAATGTGAGTTTGACACTCTTGCACTAAATGGTGTTCTGGAGGGTTAGACTAAGTTTGTCATTCATCAGATTTGTCACTGGTGAACCAGAGTGGTTCAGGTGCTGAACATGTACCAGGAAAATCAAAGTTCAAATCTTAGTTGACCATTGTGGATGATCAAGTGACTTTGGGTCAATCATTTCCTCAGGCCAAATAAACTGGGGGATAAAAATAAGGGAAAGTTCAACTGCTCAGAGAAAAGAAAAAGGCAGGATATAAATGCAAAGAAGTATTATTTTGTTGATTCAATTCTTTTTCAGATTAGTTTTTAATTAGAGGTTCATCTCTGCCCTTAATTTCACTGAGATTATAAGAATAAGTACAGGGAGGTTTTGACTATTCTTTTCTAATCTGAGAAATCATCAGCGCAGCCTTGGGGAAAGTTTCCACTGCTTCCAACTGAAATTTGCTCTCTCTTTTTAGCAGAATTATAAATAGGATGACAAGAAATGACATGCTTACATTCATATTTAATTAATTTTAAAAAGTTTTTAAGTTTTATAAATATCTCTACCATTTCCTAACCTGCAATTTAAAAATAAACAAAAAATCTCACTAATTCCATAACTACAGGGGGCAGTGATTCGATCTCCCTTCTTGATTTCAGATACAATCCCAGAAGATTTTCAAGAATTTCAAGCTCAGAAGTATGGAGTTGGAGGTATTTAAGAAGACTCAACAGTGCAAGATACTATGGTGACCAATAGTGCAGTACATTTTTAATTCTTATACAGTTGTGTGTGTATAAATGCCCAGCTTATTTGCTATGATTGATAAATAAAAAGATAAGGTAGATTAGGGTTTCTTTTTATTTTCATTTATTTTATGATAATGTAAGATTTAACTCCCAGTATGATTTTGTAGGCAATAACAGACAAAGACTAATAATGTGTTACATAAAAACATCTGGAATCAGAGGCTGTGTAGGCAAATGATTTGATATTTATAAGACACAGATATGGAAATAATTTTGCTTGCTAATGTATGTATTGATTCAAATCCATAACTAAATGCAATAATTGATTTGAATTTCACACAAAGAAAGCCTACTGGATTAATTTCTCATAGAAATTGCCCTGTAAGACCAATTTTTCAGTAAACTGACACCCCCAGTAATAAACCACTCCAAATTTAATGTTCCTCTTCAATTATAGTATTTGCAATGGTTTTGATTAGTCATAAAAGCATGCACAAGAAGGGTGGATGGCAGGGTTTCTTTTAATGACTTCTTTAAAGTCCCATCCAAATGGTAAATAATCAGAAGAAGATGGAGGAGCAAGATATAATCCAACCACCCTGCAGCAGATGAAGCAGACTTTAGATCACTGCATTAGCTAACACTCTGATCAAACACATTTTTATGTTTATGTTATCATTCTGGCCTCCTAACCCTGGAGGGTCCCACCTGGCTGCTCAACCCACTTACTTCAGCCTTCTGAGGAAAATCAGTGGCTGCCTCACCACCTGGAATCCTTTTAGGACAAGAATAGACATGAGGGCAAAGTCAAGAAATGTTTAGAGAGAGGAGGAGAAGGGATTCCAGCATTTGTGTTCTGATGCGATTAAACTTTGCTAAATGCCTGATTGTTGATTTCTTTTCCTTCTCAAGTTATAATCTGTAAACTTACTGGAAGCAGCAGAGTCCAAATGCAAGGTGCATCCTATAGAACAGATGTCTTGAAATTGAGCTTAGATGCAAAGCAGGGCTCTTCAAAATCATCAGAGGTTATTACCCTATTATAATTTTTAAGGTTTCAATAGAAAATATCTGCAGCCCAGGGTAGAACTGTGGAGTCCATGTTGCTCTCTGAACTTGGTTATTCAGTTGTAGACATTTCAGTACCCAATTTGGGGGCATCATCAGTGTGGGTGTCTATGGGGTTTGCTGCTAGCTTGTCCTGCCAGTTTTTAAAATGCTAAAATGCTAAATTGTTTATTTAGCAAATTTTTATAGCCATCTTACTGAATCTGAGAAGCATTGTCTTTTTGAATGGTGTGTAAATGTGGTTTATGTCTATGTGTCTATTGAAGGCTGATTTGGCTGATGATCTGAAATGAAGTGTGAACAAAACTGAAATGAAATAAAATTTCTTGCCACATCTTGTTTTTTAGATTTGTGCCCTGTAGAAGCGGGTGTGCCCTTGGCCTAGAGACAGTTGTGCATTATTATTCTTTTTGGTATTGGTGGGTATGTGCCCCTTCCAGAACTCCATTGTTGCACTTCAATTTTGTGTAAAAAAAAGCCACATTTATGTAATACAAAAACTGCATCAGCTTTTGTGGAAAAAATTGAAATGAAGAGTGGGATTGAAGTTAATACTGTCTCTTAGCACTCCAAAATGATGAAAATCATACCAATATTTTTAGAGATGAAAAGTTAAAGGTGCTTGGCTCCTGTTGGTTTCCTGTTTCCATTTCTAAAATAGACCAAAAAACATGATGTTCCTTCTTGCCCCTTCCTGGGATTTTGCTACATCATTAGATGATCTTCTTTGTCTAAGCTAAGTTGTAGTCTCTGGTTCCTCAGTCGTCTCCACTTTTGACATGGAAGCTGTAAAAAGGCTATGACTGTGTAGAGTAAGCAGAGATGGGCTGAACAGAAGAAATAGCCAAGCTGGGCAACACCTCTGAATTGGCATTCCTGGAGCCATAAAGCAGGTTCAAGATGGCTCCTTTTTGTTCTTAGTCGGCATTGTGGTGCTTATGCATTCTGTTATTCTGTATTCCTGTGTAGGTTAAGGAGCTGAAGCATTTTAAAGTCCAGAATAAAGTCCTGAAGCATTTTAAATCCAGAATAGTGAGGTAAAATTTGGATGTGTTTCAGGCTGACTCTTCCCTCATTCATTGAACTATAAGAAGGAAGAGGTATAGCAAAATCAGATTTGCAAGTTCCCATTATTATAGTCTTTCTGTGGAGTTTATGTTTCAGTCTCATCTGCCTAATGGAGTTGACACACCTAAAATGCCTCTGAAATAATGCTCCAACTTTGTATTTATATAAAAAAAGAAACTTAAAACTTTGAGAGGGAATATTAGATGAAGTTCTTACTGTACTTTCTTGGAATAATAACCTCTAGCCAATTCTGCTTTCACAGTGACGTTCTCAATTTTTGCCAGTGCTGACTGGAGAATTCTGGGAATTGAAGTCCTCATCTTAAAATGTCTAAAATTGAGAAATACTGCTCTATAGCAATTCAGTCCTACACTGACCTTGCAAATATCTCATTAACTTCATTGCTACTATCACTTCTCTTCTCTAAAGCCCTTCCTGCCAGAATAACCACTTGTATATAAAATGTGAGTTTAATTCACATTTGGTAATAAGCCAGAGATTCTTTAAATGTAGTTTGCTGAAATAAGCACAACAGGTCATGTTCATTGGAAGTGCCTTAATTGTGTTGTGCTGTCACATTTATTGGAGAAAACAGAAACCAGAACCTAGCACTCTTGCAACAGATTATGCAGACCTATTTTCGTTTATTAAACACTCTGGTATAGATTGAATTAAATTAAAGTAAAGTAACTGTATGAGAGAAAAATGTACCAAGGCAAAAAATGTAACAGCTTTTAATACAAACATTTAGGAGATGCATACGGGAGGCTTCCCCATGCAAGCATGTAGCAAATAATAAGCATGTCACCAACTGTTTGGCAGCTGTGCATACAAAACAGATGTTGTGTCCACAATCGTCCATACAGACCCAAGAGCAGGGGGCGTATAACCCACTGGAATGGTAGCAACTAGCTATCTGAAAGGATACGGAAGGCTTTATTGCCTTTCCTTTAAAAGAGGCGGCTGAAGGCAAGAATTAGGCGCCCCTGCAGTTTTCACATACTGTTCTTCAG